TAGAACAGATGCTGTTCTGGAATTCACGCAGCAGTTCCTCTTCAGACAGCCAGTGGTAAGTATAGAGCAGATGCTGTTCTGGAATTCACATGGCAGTTCCTCTTCAGACAGCCAGTGGTAAGTATAGAGCAGATGCTGTTCTGGAATTCACACGGCAGTTCCTCTTCAGACAGCCAGTGGTAAGTATAGAGCAGATGCTGTTCTGGAATTCACACGGCAGTTCCTCTTCAGACAGCCAGGGGTAAGTATAGAGCAGATGCTGTTCTGGAATTCACACGGCAGTTCCTCTTCAGACAGCCAGGGGTAAGTATAGAGCAGATGCTGTTCTGGAATTCACGCAGCAGTTCCTCTTCAGACAGCCAGTGGTAAGTATAGAGCAGATGCTGTTCTGGAATTCACACGGCAGTTCCTCTTCAGACAGCCAGGGGTAAGTATAGAACAGATGCTGTTCTGGAATTCACGCAGCAGTTCCTCTTCAGACAGCCAGTGGTAAGTATAGAGCAGATGCTGTTCTGGAATTCACATGGCAGTTCCTCTTCAGACAGCCAGTGGTAAGTATAGAGCAGATGCTGTTCTGGAATTCACACGGCAGTTCCTCTTCAGACAGCCAGGGGTAAGTATAGAGCAGATGCTGTTCTGGAATTCACACGGCAGTTCCTCTTCAGACAGCCAGGGGTAAGTATAGAGCAGATGCTGTTCTGGAATTCACACGGCAGTTCCTCTTCAGACAGCCAGTGGTAAGTATAGAGCAGATGCTGTTCTGGAATTCACATGGCAGTTCCTCTTCAGACAGCCAGGGGTAAGTATAGAGCAGATGCTGTTCTGGAATTCACACGGCAGTTCCTCTTCAGACAGCCAGGGGTAAGTATAGAGCAGATGCTGTTCTGGAATTCACACGGCAGTTCCTCTTCCGACAGCCAGAGGTAAGTATAGAGCAGATGCTGTTCTGGAATTCACACGGCAGTTCCTCTTCAGACAGCCAGGGGTAAGTATAGAACAGATGCTGTTCTGGAATTCACGCAGCAGTTCCTCTTCAGACAGCCAGGGGTAAGTATAGAGCAGATGCTGTTCTGGAATTCACGCAGCAATTCCTCTTCGGACAGCCAGGGGTAAGTATAGAGCAGATGCTGTTCTGGAATTCACACGGCAGTTCCTCTTCTGACAGCCAGAGGTAAGTATAGAGCAGATGCTGTTCTGGAATTCACACGGCAGTTCCTCTTCGGACAGCCAGGGGTAAGTATAGAGCAGATGCTGTTCTGGAATTCACACGGCAGTTCCTCTTCAGACAGCCAGGGGTAAGTATAGAGCAGATGCTGTTCTGGAATTCACACGGCAGTTCCTCTTCAGACAGCCAGGGGTTAGTATAGAGCAGATGCTGTTCTGATTTAGGACAGGGAAGTCAAACAGCAATGCATAAACATTTCACAAGTCATCTTCAAGTCAATAGTATGTACGTACTCACAGCAGGTGGCTGACTTCAGCATGAAAGACTCGGTGGGCAGATTCAGGCTTTCAATATGAGAGACTCAATGGACAGGTACTGGTGCTTATCAGTGATGCGCGGGTTGATCCGAAATGACCGGGTGCCTGCGGTCACCCACGGTTACCCGCAGTTACGGGTCATCTAAAAATGTTTTTAATGATATTCGGGTCGCGGTCGGTCGGGTCGTTTGAAAAAAGATGCCAATTAAACATTTGTATTAATATAGTACTAGACACAATTTTTGATGAAATATACAGCCCTACACATTATTGGCTTAATAACTGGCACGAAGATTACACACAAGCTCAGTCTAAACAGTTCCCGGATCTATACTGGTGATTCGAGAACTGTTGTCCCTGTGCGTTCGGTAGTACGCAGTATCTATGAGCAGTATCAGCTGCTCGTGCTCATCACTTCTCTCAACAGGGGCACCAACATGTCTCGGTTCAGTGAACTGTTGGAGTTACTGAAGTAAAATATAATTCAGGATATTGATTTATTTCGATTCAGAGGGACTATCAGGCATGTCTAAAAGTGAGTAACTTTAGTAACTTCTGGATCAGCACTGACGCAAGACGCGAACTGTTTCGAACGATTCAGTTCGATTTAGTGTACTGGTTCAACCGGTTCACTAAAAAGAACCGGTTCAAAAGAACGATTCGTTCACGAACCGGCCATGTCTACGATGATCACTACAGTCTGCAGAGAGATGGAGGCGGCAAGAGAAAAGGTGAAGACTGGGGAGTGGAAGCTCCGCAAATACACAAATAGAAAGAGTAAAAGTGTGGGAGACATTTGCTGAAATAATGAAAGATGATGACCTAAGTGCTGGCTTTGCCTTTGTTATGTGTAGGCGTACGTCTTCTTGCGATGCCGTGTTGTTACACGTCTATGGCCCAATAACGCTCCGATGAGCATTTACTACTTTTAAAAAATGCGGTCAGGAAGCAGGTCGGGTACAATATTTTTTTTACTTTTTTTGCGGTCCGAGTTGCGGGCGGGTAGTTGAAAACATCGGTCGGTTGCGAATTGTTTATACATTGACCCGCGCATCACTGGTGCTTATTTAGGACAGGGAAGTCAAACAGCAGTGCATAAACATTTCACAAGTCATCTTCAAGTCAATAGTATGTACGTACTCACAGCAGGTGGCTGACTTCAGCATGAAAGACTCGGTGGGCAGATTCAGGCTTTCAATATGAGAGACTCAATGGACAGGCGCTGGTTCTTATTTAGGACCGGGAAGTCAAACAGCAGTGCATAAACATCTCACGACTCCTCTTCACACTGGATGGACTGGAGGCACAATCCTGCACAGTGCATACTCAGCACACAGTAACAGACAGAACAGACACAACAATCCTCACCCCAGTGCAAACATCAATCACTTCAAATAATCATATGTGATCACTCCACACTAGTCACTTCACACTAGGCACTGCAACTCACACCACTCGCAGTGAATAAGATCTCCACTCTTGATCCCGGCCAGCTCCCTCCTCTCGTGCCGATGGAGTCCACACTGTATGGAGAGTATACTACGCACACACCACTGCCATAAAAAGGTTACCACAATATCAAACAGAAGACCTCAATAGGCAACCTCAGAATGCACAAAGATCCAGGGCAAATTCACTGGTCGTTTATATACGGTGTGAGACCGGAGTCAGATAATGAGGATCTCCAATGGCACTTTACTGTTACTGCTGTCTCTCCTTCTCCATCCAGGTTGAACTGCTGTTTTCAGGCTCCTTCCCTGCCGTGGATTTCTCTGTCCCCTGCCGCTTGCCCTCTTCACTCGAACATCCGCTTTTATGATCCCCCTCGTGAACGCGATGATTCAATCTCCGCCCATCTCACAGCTGCCGCTCGTTTCTCCTCTCCTTTGGTTCGTGATAAAAAAACCACGCTGAAGAAACTCCTTGACCATGATGACCCGAGAGCGGTGATCAGGCAGGAGCGCACAGATCTGGTTGTAGTTCCAGGTCCTGTTCATCCGAACCCACTCTCTGCTCGAAGCCTTGGCTTTCTGGACCTCGGCCGCTCTCTCCTCGGGCGTGCGTTTCTTCATGCAGACTCTGGCCAGGTGAACAGCAAGGTTTTCCTTGGGTTTGTGGCACTGCAAGCAGTGGACAACGGTACGATCAGCGGACCTTAAATACAAAATTACATGATATAGAATCAATTATTTAAACTATGATCTGAAAGAATGAGACATAAGTAAAAAAAAAAGAAATAAAATACTCTTAAATATACAGCAAAACAGGGCATTGTCCTATTAACATTGAAATGGAGCTCAACAGAAAATACACAAAAACACAAACATTACCTCTTTTCAGCTTGTCCTTCCATTTCAGCAAAATCCAATTCAGATTGTCTCAGCAGATCAGCAGAGTAGATAGAATCCAGATGTCCTCAGCAGAATCCAGGAGTCCTCAGCAGATCAGCACAGAATGCTTCCCAGATAAACCTCCTGAGTGTCTCAAACCAGCCAATCAGATCGCAGTATTATACAATGGGTGTCTGCCTCTGCGCAGACCTGATAATGGGCCATCATGAGATAGCTGAGCCATCAGTGAGCCATCAATGAGCCATCAGTTTTACTGCCTGAGCTTGTGAAATGAAACTGATTAGTTCTAATGGTTTTTAAATGGGCAATCATATTTACTGCCAGGGATACTTAAGTGTTTGTTGGCTTAAGAGATGGAATTAATTTAAGTCCTGAGGGAAATAATATTTTCCCCTCTCTGACCAGCAATAAGCAGAAACAAATTCGTACAGCCATTTTTAGTGCAGTCACTGTAAAGCTCAGAGGCCTAATTCGAGGCCTGTTTGACCCCTGTTCTCTCTGGCCAGGAACAACATGAAACAGCCTGATATTATTATTTAATATAAAACTAATCTAGGGGTATGTGTGCTTTCATACCCCAACACTTATTTGGCTTTACCATGTTCATAGAGGGAATGAGAGGTAATCAGGTTAGCTGACCTCTTTGCCGTGGTGAAAATCTGGCAGCACTTTACCAGTTTTCAACTTGGATTATTTTATTAAAATGAACGCATCTCAGTCATTGTTTATGCTACAGACAAGTTTTGCACATCTATTGAAAGCTTGAGACCTGCACTTTAATGTGTTTGCATTGAATCTCTGTATCTTGTTCAGGGAGTTGATAATACAGACTAAAGTTGCGGCTGTCACCGCTGAACTCACCCCAGGCCTTTGTCGTTACTGTTTTGTGCTAAAACGTCTTTATTTAACTCAAATCTCAAGCTTTCTTTCTGCTTTTAGCATCAAATTAATCAGTGAGTTCGGAAAGATTAAGAGTTGAGAAAGATTATTTCCCTCAGGACTTAAATTAATTCCATCTCTTAAGCCAACAAACACTTAAGTATCCCTGGCAGTAAATATGATTGCCCATTTAAAAACCATTAGAACTAACCAGTTTCATTTCACAAGCTCAGGCAGTAAAACTGATGGCTCATTGATGGCTCACTGATGGCTCAGCTATCTCATGATGGCCCATTATCAGGTCTGCGCAGAGGCAGACACCCATTGTATAATACTGCGATCTGATTGGCTGGTTTGAGACACTCAGGAGGTTTATCTGGGAAGCATTCTGCTAGAGAAATCACTTTTCTTCAAATGATTCTACTGTGCTGATCTGCTGAGGACTCCTGGATTCTGCTGAGGACATCTGGATTCTATCTACTCTGCTGATCTGCTGAGACAATCTGAATTGGATTTTGCTGAAATGGAAGGACAAGCTGAGAAGCGGTAATGTTTGTGTTTTTGTGTATTTTCTGTTGAGCTCCATTTCAATGGTAATAGGACAATGCCCTGTTCTGCTGCATACTTAAGAGTTTAAGGTTTAAGTTTTTATCTCTTTTTTAAGTTTTGCTGGTCAAGGGTCACATTAGGCCTCTGTTTTAAGAATTCACTGTCTTCATTCATTTGATTTGTAAGTTTTGGTGTGTCTGCTTTGTCTCACAGCCAGAAATCCAACCGTCGCATCATTCACTGCTTGCTGTGTGGGAAACCACAGGAGATGCTGTCGACGCATCTGAGCAGAGTGTGTATGAAAAAGAACACACCCGAAGAACGGATGGAGGAAACAAATAGGGCAAAGGAGTCTGCCAAGGCGTGGACACGGCAAGCCAGGAACTGGGACTACAAGGAGATGGTGAAACGTTACCCCCACAGACCATCCAGACTGGCTCTTCTGAAAGAGCTTTGCCAAAGAGACTTTTTTGTGGCTAATGCTCCTGAACAGGCAGACCTGGACTCAGAAGAGGCGTCCACCAGCACGGCGGGTGAACCTTCTGGAGCAGCCGGTGGCCACTCTGAAGCAGCCGTTGTCAGCTCCCTGACACGGTATGTAATTATCTGTAATATAATTATGTTATAAATCTGTTATAATTATAATGTCTCTCAACGCTCATCCATCAGTTCGTTAGTGTGTAACCTCCAAACCTTTTCAATATTGCAGCTCCTCTTCTGACGACTCTGGTGAAGAGGGCACCCAGGCAGTGAAGAGAAGGCGGGTGGAAGAAGAGGTTGGCAGCCCAGCCCCGGACTTTAATGCTTTCCTGCAGGCCTTCCCTGTGGGAATCACTGGCCAACCACCCAACAAGACCCAGAGAGAAAAAGCTGGGTTCCCCGCCGACAGAGTCTTTTATGACAAGTGGAGGGCTCTGCAGTACAGCCTTCGGGAGCAACATCTTTTGTGTAAGTGTATATACTTCCTTATGATCCAATGATTAGATTTGCTCCAACAGAAACATTTTGAACTAGTGTGTGAACCTGAATTTTAATTCAAATGTGTTCTCTTTGACAGCAAAATTCTCAAGACGTACCCCAACTGCAGCGATGGTGGCCAAAGTCATAGATGCAGAGGGCTGGACGGCCAATCATCCTCGTCCAGAGGACATCATGGCGAAGTGGAGGCCGCTCAGCAGAGCACAGGCGGAGAGTGACCCGTGCATCATCAAGGGGGTGACCAGGCAGAAATGGTCGGGTCTGGCTGTGAAGGCCTTTGGGGAGCAGAAAGGTATGTACAACTGTCTTATGAGCACAGTAAAATCCATAAATAAAATGAATATGATAACTGAACAGCACATTAATGACTCCCTCTTTTTGACCACAGGCGTTGTTGCAACCAAGGCCTTCGGGAAGGGCTCCATCCTGTGTGATTTCCACGGAAAGGTGATCACAGGTGCTGAGGGCAGGGAGATGGCAGAGACGCAGGACCAGCTGGGCAACCTGTTTTTCTTCAAACATGGCCCTGACGAAATCTGCATCGATGCGGAGACTTTCCCCTGTGAGTGCCACCCGTCTCTGGAAACCATCGGGAGATGGATTACACATTCAAAGAAGAAGCACAACGTGCAGCCATGCCACTGCATAGTGAAGCTTCAGGGGGGAGACAGGCATGTCCTGCTCTTTCAGGCCACCACGGACATTAAGAAAGATGATAAGATCTGCTTCGACCACGGCATCAAGAAGAGGACTTTTCGTGGGGAGATAGAGGAGCTGGAGTGGCTGAACATTTGATTCTTTACAATTTGTGTCACATTTTATGACACAAGACTATGAACTATCAATGTTTTGTTTTTCAACTGTGAGCTCGCGAATGAACTATAAATGTTTGGACAAAATTGGGAGCTTGCGTATGGACTATCAATGTTTGGACAAAATTGGGAGCTTGCGTATGGACTTGATGTTCATGTAAAAGGAGCCTCAGTAGCGTCTAAACATTGTAGTTTCATGTAAAAGGAGCCTCAGTGTGACCAATGAAATAATTGAGTTTGATCTACGTCCTGGAGCTGGAGTGGTTGGATCTCTGACAACCCGGACAGACTCTATTTTTTCAGACTGTGATTTTGCCGGACGTCTGCTTGCCTCTCACAGACCATGTGTGACAAATTTAAATGGAGCCTCATTGTGAACTGACAACCCAGACAGACTGTATTGTAAGTAGAGTACTTATTGTAAGTGTATTGTAAATACTTTGAACAGTATTGTACATGAATTTATGCTCACTGTACATTAGTAAAATAACCTCTCTGTTTTTGGTTTACCACAGCAGGATTTTGAAGAAGGCACCACGCACTCTACCCGGGCATCCCAGGACAGTGTCTCCTTCCATCGTCGGCTCCTCAGAGCTCCTTGAGGGATGCTGAGAGCGAGCCGGAACCTCAGAACAATTTCCATAAAGTTACGCATCTCTTTAACCATTCATTCACTTATTGCTCACCTTTTATACTACTGCTGAATCAGATCAAATGCATTAATATTATGAACATCAGCTATGCTAATTATTTCCCATCTGCCTTTCTGCTGTTATCTCGGGACAAGCGGGGTTCGTCAGGTCCAGCTTGTATCCAGCGTGTCACGGAGACTTCAGATGCCCCAACGCCTGTGTTTTGATGACCAAACGCCCGTGAAGAGACGACTCGACCCATGTGAAGAGGCGACTCAACATCGGTGATGTGTTTTCCCATAAACTAATACATGATTAACTAACTGTATTTTTCTATGGACAATTTAGAATTGCACTATTGTGTAAAGAACTATACGAATAAGAATTAGAATTAAAGCTGCTATGCATATTTCTTTTCTGTTTTAAAAACATAATTTCCCTTAATCTGAATTCAATCATTCTTTTAACAGTGGGAGCCTTACGGGAGTGTTCACGGGGCCTGCATCTTCTTCCACACATTCTCAGATGCCCAGGAAGGGATTTCTAAAAATTAGAATACAGTGATCTCTTGTCATGATCCTGGCTCGTTCTCTGTCCCCCCCTGCTGGTTATTCGTTCACTCACTCACCCACTTGCCGCTTTCACTTTCATTACTGACAGCTGTTATCACTTTTCATTAGGCTCATCTCTCTCCACCTGTCTCTCGTTCCCCCCTCATTATCTTGGCTTTTTCTTACCTTCTCTTTCTTGTCGTGTTGTCAGTTTGTTCGTAAGTTTCGATGCGTGCATCTGTCTGAGTCCAGTCCAGTCCTGTTTAGAAACATTACTCTGATTACTTCGAGTATTATTCTGTGTCCATGCGATATACTTCCAGAACCATACCTGCTAGGAGTCTGAGGCTGTGTTCCTTCTTCATTGCTCGCTATCCCGGCCCTGAGGGTTTCTGGGTCCCTACTGCTCCAGCTCTCTGCTCATCTTTGCCTGGACCACAGAGGGAGTTTCTGTTCAAGTTCGACTGCCTGTTCTACAGGAACCTTCTGTTGCTGTTTATATAATTCCTCTGTTACACGTACCTGTGGTCATCCTGCCATTTGTTATTAAAGGAGCTGTGATTGTCATCCTCGCTTCTGAGTCCTCTCTAAATCCATCACAGAACAAACTGACCAAGGATGGACTCAGCGAATGGCAACGCGTTCCAGTCCGCTGTCGAACATCAGGGTGTTCTCCTGGGCAAGCATGAGGAGGACATCTCCGCAGCCAGACACGCGGTTGAGACTTTGGCCGCCCAGATGTCGGATCTTTCTTGTCAGGTCCACAACCTGCGTCTCCAGCCTCCCGTTTCGCTGGGGTCTCATGATTCTCCGGAGCCCCGGATAAATAATCCGCCCGTGTACCTGGGTGAGGCCACACAGTGTCGGTCGTTTTTGACCCAATGTGAGGTAATCTTCTCCCTACAACCTTTGACGTACGCGAAGGAACGCACTAAGGTGGCGTACGTTATCTCCCTTCTCGCCGGCCGGGCACGGGAATGGGCAGCGGCTAACTGGGAGGCGGAGAGGGAGTGCGTCTTCAGCTTCGCATTGTTTAAGGACGAGATGATCCGGGTTTTCGACCGTTCTGCTCACGGCGAGGAGGCTTCACGGTTGCTGTCTTCTCTCCGGCAGGGGAGGCGCTCGGTTTCTGATTTCTCCATAGAATTTCAGACTCTAGCTACCACCTGCGGCTGGAACCAACCCGCGTTGGTCGCTCGTTTTCTGGAGGGTCTCAGCTCCGAGCTGAGAGAAGAGATCCTTATCCGAGAGGTCCCCGCTCGGCTCGACGAGCTCATTCAACTGGCTATTCGAGTGGAGAAGAGATTCGACTTACGACGCCGAGCTCGCCGCATGGAGCCTGTCCTGGGGTCCACGCCCACTGCTGGTTCCGTTATACCCGCTCCGAGTCCGGATCCCGAGCCCATGCAGCTTGGAGGTCTGCGAATCTCACCTAAGGAACGGGAGAGGAGACTGGTTAATCGTCTTTGCATGTACTGTGCTGCTCCCGACCACTTTGCTCTGTCGTGCCCAGTAAAAGCCAGCGCTCGTCAGTAGGCGGAGGGTTACTGGCGAGCGCAATCTCTAGAGAGATCCCTTCAGACTCTTGCACTACTCTACCTGTGCATCTTCAGTGGTCCAGTTCATCTGTCTCCTGCTCTGCCATGATCGACTCTGGGGCCGAGGGAAATTTCGTGGATGAGGAGTGGGCCCGGCAGCAAGGTATTCCCCTCATCTATTTAAAGCATTCAACCCCCCTTCTCGCCCTAGACGGTAGTTCCCTTCCTAGGGTGCTAAGAGAGACCGTTCCACTGACTCTTACCGTTTCGGGTAATCATCGAGAGACTATTTCTTTTCTTGTTTTTCGTTCGCCCTTTATTCCAGTAGTATTAGGTCATCCCTGGCTTAAACGTCATAACCCCCATATCGATTGGTCCCTTGGCTCTATCTTGTCTTGGAAGTTATCGTGTCATGTTGATTGTCTTGTGTCTGCTGTTCCTCCTGTGTCTTCTGTTTCTGTGTTTCAGGAAGAGGCAGGGGATTTGTCTGGAGTACCGGAGGAATATCACGATTTGCGGGAGGTATTCAGTCGTTCCCGGGCCACTTCTCTCCCTCCTCACCGCCCCTACGATTGTGGTATTGAGCTTCTCCCGGGTACCACGCCCCCTCGGGGAAGACTTTATTCTCTCTCGGTTCCTGAACGGGAGGCGTTAGAGAATTATTTGTCTGACTCTCTCAGGGCTGGCACTATTGTCCCGTCCTCGTCTCCGGCCGGTGCGGGTTTTTTCTTCGTCAAGAAGAAAGACGGCTCTTTGCGTCCCTGCATTGATTATCGGGGGCTGAATGACATCACGGTTAAGAACCGCTATCCCTTACCACTGATGTCTTCAGCTTTCGAGATCCTGCAGGGAGCAACGATTTTTTCTAAGCTTGATCTTCGCAATGCTTACCATCTCGTACGAATTAAAGAGGGGGACGAGTGGAAGACCGCTTTTAATACACCCCTCGGGCACTTTGAATACCGGGTCCTTCCGTTCGGTTTGGTCAACGCCCCCGCCGTTTTTCAAGCCCTTGTCAACGACGTCCTTCGGGATATGCTAAACGTGTTCGTGTTTGTATATCTCGATGACATATTGATTTTCTCACCCTCTCTCCAAGTCCATGTGCAGCATGTACGCCGCGTACTTCAGCGCTTACTCGAGAATCGCCTCTTTGTAAAGGCTGAGAAATGCTCTTTTCACGTGCCTTCCGTTACTTTCTTAGGTTCGGTCATCTCGGCTGAGGGAATCAGTATGGATTCGTCTAAGGTCCAGGCGGTAGTTGACTGGCCCGTTCCTGATTCTCGTGTCGCGTTACAGCGCTTTCTTGGATTTGCTAATTTTTATCGCCGCTTTATACGCAATTTCAGTCAAGTAGCCGCGCCACTCACCGCCCTGACCTCAGTTAAGTCCTGTTTTAGGTGGTCAGAATCCGCTCAAGAGGCTTTTGACCGTCTAAAGGTTCTCTTTACCACCGCACCCATTCTGATCATGCCGGATATCACTAGACAGTTTATCGTCGAGGTCGACGCGTCGGAGGTAGGGGTAGGCGCCGTTCTTTCTCAGCGGTCAGCCTCCGATAACAAGGTACATCCTTGCGCTTTTTTTTCGCACCGTCTGTCTTCCGCGGAACGTAATTACGATGTCGGCAATCGGGAACTGCTCGCCATTCGCCTGGCTTTAGGCGAGTGGCGCCAGTGGTTGGAGGGTTCCTCCGTTCCTTTTGTCGTCTGGACCGACCATCGAAATTTGGAATACATCCGTTCCGCAAAGAGACTGAACGCACGCCAGGCTCGCTGGTCGCTGTTTTTTACGCGCTTCGACTTCTCCATCTCTTATCGGCCCGGGTCCAAGAATGTTAAACCGGACGCGCTGTCTCGCCTCTTTGGTTCCTCCTCCTCTTCTTCCACCCGGGAGGAGATTATTCCTCCTGGTCGTGTGGTGGGAGCGGCGATTTGGGGAATCGAGAGACAGGTTAAGCGTGCTCTTGCCCATGCCGTCACTCCGCGCGACTGCCCTAGAGGCTCCTTATTCGTTCCGGTGCCCACTCGCCTAGCCGTCCTCCAGTGGGGACATTCGTCCAAATTGTCAGCCCATCCCGGCGTTCGGGGCACTATCGCGCTTATTCGCCAACGCTTTTGGTGGCCCACCTTAGTTCATGACGCGCGTCGCTTTATCGCCTCTTGTTCTGTCTGTGCCCAGACCAAGGCTGGTAATTCTCCGCCCGCTGGTCTGTTACGCCCGCTACCAGTTCCTACTCGTCCGTGGTCTCATATAGCGCTCGACTTTATCACGGGTCTCCCTGCGTCGGCCGGTAATACCGTCATTCTTACTGTGGTCGACCGTTTTTCGAAGTCCGCGCACTTCATTCCTCTCGCCAAGCTTCCCTCTGCCAAGGAGACCGCCCAGATAATGGTTAATCATGTTTTCAGATTGCACGGTTTGCCCACCGACGTCGTTTCTGATAGGGGCCCGCAATTCTCATCACAATTCTGGAAAGAATTTTGTCGTCTTATTGGTGCCACCGTCAGCCTCTCTTCAGGGTTTCATCCCCAGACTAACGGTCAGGCCGAACGTGCCAATCAGATTGTGGCCCGCATTCTCCGCAGTCTGGCGTTCCGTAATCCTGCGTCTTGGGCTGAGCAGCTTCCCTGGGCAGAATACTCACACAACTCTCTCCCATCTTCTGCCACGGGGCTCTCACCCTTTCACTGTTGTCTCGGCTACCAACCTCCGCTTTTTCCCTCGCAAGAGACAGAGTCGAACTGTCCCTCCGTTCAGACGTTCATCAGTCGCTGCAAACGTACTTGGAGGAGAGTGAGATCGTCCCTTTGTCGTGCTAGGAGACGCATGAGCATCTCGGCCAATAAGTATCGCATTAAGAGTCCCCGCTATTGTGTTGGCCAGAGAGTGTGGCTCTCCACTTCCAATTTACCTCTTCAGTCCGATTCTCGCAAGTTGGCTCCCCGTTTTATCGGGCCATTCCGTATAGTCAAGATTATTAATCCTGTCGCCGTCAAGCTTCATTTACCTCCTAACCTTCGTCGCATCCACCCGGTTTTCCACGTCTCCTGCGTTAAGCCCGTCAATCGCTCGACTTCTCGTACCGCGTTCTCGGCAGTCCGTGTGGAGGATTCTCCTGTCTATACTGTCCGTAAGATCTTGGATATGCGTCGTCGGGGTCGAGGACATCAGTACCTGGTCGATTGGGAGGGGTACGGGCCTGAGGAGAGAAGCTGGGTTTCCCCCCGGGACATCCTGGACCCTTCGCTCATTGATGATTTCCTCCGGTCTCGCCAGGGTTCATTTGAGGAGGGGGTACTGTCATGATCCTGGCTCGTTCTCTGTCCCCCCCTGCTGGTTATTCGTTCACTCACTCACCCACTTGCCGCTTTCACTTTCATTACTGACAGCTGTTATCACTTTTCATTAGGCTCATCTCTCTCCACCTGTCTCTCGTTCCCCCCTCATTATCTTGGCTTTTTCTTACCTTCTCTTTCTTGTCGTGTTGTCAGTTTGTTCGTAAGTTTCGATGCGTGCATCTGTCTGAGTCCAGTCCAGTCCTGTTTAGAAACATTACTCTGATTACTTCGAGTATTATTCTGTGTCCATGCGATATACTTCCAGAACCATACCTGCTAGGAGTCTGAGGCTGTGTTCCTTCTTCATTGCTCGCTATCCCGGCCCTGAGGGTTTCTGGGTCCCTACTGCTCCAGCTCTCTGCTCATCTTTGCCTGGACCACAGAGGGAGTTTCTGTTCAAGTTCGACTGCCTGTTCTACAGGAACCTTCTGTTGCTGTTTATATAATTCCTCTGTTACACGTACCTGTGGTCATCCTGCCATTTGTTATTAAAGGAGCTGTGATTGTCATCCTCGCTTCTGAGTCCTCTCTAAATCCATCACATCTCTATTCAAAACAACTGAATAAGCTCCAATCCCTAACTGTAAAACTGTGTGACGTGTTTTTGAGCATGTGATGAGGCTGTGCATTTATATATAATGGTGTCAAGTTTATAAAATGTGTGAACAACATGCAGTGTACATATTCTTTTGGAGTGCTCTTTTATATTGTTAATAAAAAATAATTTTCACAAACCTATTGTTGCATTATGATTGTTTGTTGATTATGCTGTAGTTTATGGTTTTCGATTTAAATAATCTCCTGTTAAAAATCTTTTATTAGTATAAGTATTGTCTGTGACCCTACATTCACCAAATGTTAGAGTGACTGAGATAAAATAGGACTAAAATAACTTTAACTTGTCATTTGATTTTGATTTTTCTACAGTATTTTACAGACAGCTGTCAAACTCTGTTGCAACTTTTCGTTTGATTTTTATTTCTCTACAGTATTGTGCCAACAATGAAGAGATGGAGGACTTATAATTTATTTTAAATAAATATCATTATGGTCTACTCTTCTCATTTTTTGAAATATATTTCCAAATCTGTTGAGGTTTTGCAGAGATATTTGTGTGTTATTTGTGTGTCTTGTAACATTGAGGGTGCAGCCATGTTTGTTTAGATGCAAAGCCCTCTGGGATATGACGTCTTACCTTGTATTGTGATCAAATCAAACAATTTTTCAAAGCAAACTGTATTTTATTAAAATTACAATAAAGCAAAGTAAAAACTATATACACAATTAATACAGAAACAACAAAGAAATATATAGATGAACTCAATTGAAGCTTTAACAAGTTAAGAACTATATATACACACACACACAAACAATAAAAAGCAGAAAGACACTTTAAACATTAAACAGTGCATCTGTTACAGACAGAGATCCCTCCAGTTGTCTGGCACAGGATCCTCCGAACGCAAGCGCCTGTTGAAACATACAGAATGATAATGAAAAGTATGGTTAAATAACATTTTGGAACAAAACAAAATAGAAATGGGTATCCAAATGTACTTTAAGCCTAAATGTTTGCCTAAAAATCTATATATTAACAGGTATATATAAAAACAGGTGATGCAAACTTACTCGTTGTGCTGTGCTCGAAGGCCACCCTGGCCTTGCCATCTTCGAGGACACAGGATGGCCTGGTGTATTCCCTGTATTGGGATCCCTGTATACAGGGTTATTGCCATAAGCAAGGGATGCGATCGCCGAATTACCCAGGTCACATGGGGTAACCGCATCTCATGTCTGAGCGGTATTTCATCCCCGACCCATCTTCCTGGTTGCAAAAAAAAATGTATATAGTTTTTTTTAAATTAAAATGATCAGAAATGGGTATCCAAATGTACTTTAAGCCTAAATGTTTGCCTAAAAATCTTTATATTAACAGGTATATATAAAAACAGGTGATGCAAACTTACTCGTTGTGCTGTGCTCGAAGGCCACCCTGGCCTCACCATCTTCGAGGACACAGGACGGCCTGGTGAGTCCCGAGGTGGGCATGGCATCGCGGCTCGCTCAGAGTTCCAGTGACTCCAGCATGCCTCCGAACCTTCTTCCCGTGGTCGAACCTCAGCTTTTTACAGACCGGTGTCCCTCTTCAGCGAGTTTCCAGGCATCTCGTTGTCTCCACGGATGCATCTACCACAGGTTGGGGTGCCATGTGCAATGGGCATGCAGCCGCGGGTTCCTGGACAGGACCCCAGTGCCTCATGCACATCAATTGCCTCGAGCTGCTGGCAGTACGCCTGGCCCTGCACCGCTTTCGAGCGCTGCTCAGGGGTCAACATGTACTTGTCTGCTCAGACAACACCACTGCAGTAGTGTACATCAACCACCAGGGTGGTCTACGCTCACGCCGGTTGTCGCAGCTCGCCCGCCACCTCTTGTTATGGAGTCAGAAGCACCTAAGGTCCCTTCGTGCAGTATACATTCCAGGAGACCGGAACCTGGCAGCCGACGAGCTGTCACGGATCCGCCCTATCTCCGGCGAATGGCGACTCCATCCCCAGACGGTCCAGCTGTCCATGAAGACAGCACTCCTGGTTGCACTGGCCTCCATCAAGAGGGTGGGGGACCTGCACGCATTCTCCGTTGATGAAGCGTTTCTGGAGTTCGGGCCGGCTTACTCTCACGTGATCCTGAGACCCCGGCCTGGATACGTGCCCAAGGTTCCCACCACTCCCTTCCGGGACCAGGTGGTGAACCTGCAAGCGCTGCCCTGGAGGAGGCAGACCCAGCCTTGGCACTGCTCTGTCCGGTACGTGCTCTCCGCACCTACGTTGACAGAACGCGGTGTTCAGGACCTCAGACCAGCTCTTTGTCTGTCATGGAGGGAGCCAGAAGGGAAGGGCTCTCTCAAAGCAACGGCTGTCCCACTGGATAGTGGACGCTATTGCTTTGTCTTACCAGCAGCAAGGTCGTCCGTGCCCCCTTGGTGTGACGGCCCATTCCACTCGGAGTGTGGCCTCCTCTTGGGCTCTAGCGCACGGCGCCTCGCTAACAGACATCTGCAGAGCTGCAGGCTGGGCGACACCCAACACCTTCGCCAGATTCTATAATCTGCGAATTGAGCCGGTGTCCTCTCACGCACTCGCTTCCGCCAGTACTGGACCCACCCGCTTAAGTGTCTTCGCTTGCTCGCCATTCCACTCCTCGGACTGGATAAGTGCGATATTTCCTCAGTGTCTTCCGTTGAAGCCTTGAGTCCTCCAGCACCGACGATGCGGGCACCACTGTTTGCTCTGGTTGCCGGCTAGGTGCCTCCATGTGCACGGTTCCCTATGGTAACTGACATGAGACAGTAACCATATTATTACCATACAGTATTATCCACTGTAAGCCTCTCTGAGCATGTGTCTTCCCTTGGCAAGCCATCTGTTACCCCTGGAGTTAAATTCTAGTAGCCATGCGTTCCTATGCGGCCATATGTGTTTTTGTAAGTCCTCCTTCGGTAGTAGTCCTCCCGGGATATGTTTCCCAGTGTACCTTGGTAATCCTGTGTCAAAGTGGGATCCCTAAAAAAAAAAAAAAAAAAGGGTAAGGTGCAGGGGTCCAGACTTTCGCAGGGCACTAGAAGACAGCTTGAAGATGGCGTGATGGCACTGACCCCCATTCTCCGTCACTTCTGACGTAACTCGAAGTGACTACGAAAGGGAACGTCTCGGTTACGGATGTTACGTCTCCCTGCCACTTCAGCTGTATCGCTGGGTAGATGCCGGAGTTCAGTCTTGGCTCCTCAGCGAAGACATACTGCGGTTGCGTTCACTTCCTCCTTTTATACCCACTGCGTGGGGCGGAGATACGCTATGCAAATTCCGCAGCCCCAAGGCATTTTCATGCCATTGGCTCGTTGTTAAATACTCGAAGAGGATTGGCTTTCATGCGAAACCCCCATTCTCCGTCACTTCTGACGTAACGTCTCCGTTCCCTACTCAGGGAACGAGGGTTACATCCGTAACCGAGACGTTTAAGAACAAAATACAAATACATTTAAGACAAATACATTTAAGAACAGCAATTTACCTGCATGTATCTGCATAATGATAAGTTGGCGAAAATCATCAAATTAAAAAAACATAACACATAAACTCTGAAATGCGGTAGATGTAACATGTTTTCTAAAACTTATTTCAGGGTGTTTGTGAGCTGTTTTCGAACTGGCAGTGAAGACATATCTTGCTTAAAAAAGCACAGGCAGTGTTTTATCATCTTATCAAAACTGATAATTCTTAAACAGCACACTTCCATTCTAATGAAAAAAAAAACAACAACTTTATTTCAAAAGTGAACGTCAATGAAATGATGAAGAAACAATTTATAAATGACAGCATGCTCTTTATAAGAAGAAACTGTGCTAAAACTGTCGAAGCCCCCAGTTTCTGCATATGCTGCTGTTGCCATGGAGTCATGAATATTGTTGTGCTGGTTCCCAGGTGTCATTCCACACTTTGTCACTGTCCAGGAACGAAAGGAAGAAAACACACAATACAATTTAAAAGAACAACCTCAGCTATAACATGTGAAACATGCCCTCTGTCTTTATTTGTCATACTACACATGTACAGAATTATATCCTAAAAACAACTAAAATCTTTGTCTTAACATGATTATCCAAATAACCTCATTGAAAATATGGTGGTTACTACTGCATTGTCAATGTATGAACCTGGTTGCAGCCCATTACGCCACTTTATTTCATCTAGGATGGTTAAGTAGGAGGAGGGTTAAGACCTACCATATTGAGCAAGGGGTCCACATAACTTTGACTTCTTCTTTTCCCTGAAACCAAAGACATATAGAGAGAAGTTACAGTTAGTTCAGAAAGCAGCAAGAGTTGCATTTAGAGCTTTTGTAAGACGATTTATGAAAAATCTGAAAATTTATGCCAGAACCACTTTACACACGATTTACACACAAATTTGTTCTGCTCATGTTTCATGAATGAGACCCAGTGTCTCCTGCCATGGCTTTTGTCGGCACAAAGGCAAAAGACCAAGAGGAACAAAGGGAAAATTACTCACATTTTTAACTCTTCTGTCCACGATGCCTTGGTACAGGAATATTTTCTGGGCACGATGTTTTCTGCATTCTGAAAAATGACAAATGAAAAATTAAAGCTGCAAGCAGCGATGGGCGGGCCCTCGCACCTGTAGCGCGTCGGGGTGTGAGGCGGCCACGTTGTATATTCTGGAGCTCAGCCGGTGCGGCTGTGCATTTGCTACGCTGCTTTGTTAAAGGTCACTTCCTGTTGCCAGCAGGTGGCGCTATGACTGTGGGTGAATGTCGATCATGTAGATTTGTTCAGGGCGGGACTCTTGTCAAATGTGTAAAATTTCATGCAGATCTGGGCATTTACAGCCAAGTTACTACAACTTCCTGTTTCATGGCGAATCATCGACGCCATGGACACGCCCATCGACGAAAACGCGCAGATAGCACAACTTTACATCGTCAATGCCTTTAGAAGGTACAGCAGAAATTTGAAGTTGATCCGACTAAATCCCTAGGAGGAGTTTAGTGAAAGTACGTAATGAGTAAATCATCCAAAAATGGCAGTAAAATTCGAAATGGCCGACTTCCTGTTGAGTTTAGGGCATCACTCCAAGAGACTTTTCTGTGCGACTGGACATGGTAGATGTACCACAGAAATTTCGTACATGTCGGTCAAACATGCGGCGGGTGCTGCTTTCGTTAAAGGTCACTTCCTGTTGCCACTAGGTGGCGCTATGACTGTGGGTGAATGTCAGCATGTAAATTTGTTCAGGGCGGGACTCTTGTCAAATGTGTAAAATTTCATGCAGATCTGGGCATTTACAGCCAAGTTACTACAACTTCCTGTTTCATGGCGAATCATCGACGCCACGGACACGCCCATCGACGAAAACGCGCAGATAGCACAACTTTACATCGTCAATGCCTTTAGAAGGTACAGCAGAAATTTGAAGTTGATCCGACTAAATCCCTAGGAGGAGTTCGTTAAAGTACAGAGTGTGTAAATCGTCCCAAATCGGTCGCCAAATTCAAAATGGCGGACTTCCTGTCGAGTTTAGGGTATGGGTTCTTGAGGCTTTTTTGTGCGTCTGGTCATGGTAGATGTACCACAGAAATTTCGTACATGTCGGTCAAAGGTGCGGCGGGGGCTGCTTCGTTAAAGGTCACTTCCTGTTGCCACTAGGTGGCGCTATGACTTTGAAGGGTGTTTGAAGGGTGATGGAAACGCGCCTACTTTAACTGCTCTGAACTTACCCCTGCATTTTATTTCTATAAATTAATTTCGTTTCAAATGGGGTCCAACCAGTTATTAAAGGTGTTAAAAATTAACTCTGTATCTCGAGGTTGCGGCGCGCACACTATAGGTTAACCGAGTAGGCTATTAACCGAAAGGGCCTCGGTTAACGGTTAATGAAAAACTTGAAAACGTGCAGCCCTAGTTTGTAGGTATTTGTTCGTCCTTTCTTTGTTGATGACAAACACAAACTTTCTTCTAAGAGCAACAGAGTCGCGCGATGGCACGAGCGTCATCACTAAAGACACACCCTTTACGGCATTGGTCCTGGCTTTTGTTCACACAGCGCGCGTTCCGGGACTGATTACGGCAATGTTATTAGGTCCCCAACCTGGGATCAATCCCAGAAGCAATCCCAGGTCGTGTTTGCGTTCACACAGAAGGCGTTCTGGCAATTTGCCGGCAATTTCCTGGGATCAACTCGCTGTGTGAAAGGGGCTATAGATACATCTCCCTAATATATATTAATTTGTCAATGAAGTCTCTCTCTTTCTCTCTCCCTCCTGCTCTTTATACAGCACTCATTGGCTGGAAGTGCAGTGAGTGTTTTCTGAAGAGGGCCTACCAGCGGCTGAACAGATCTCGGATGAGCATTTTTGCCCAAGAGCTTGCTGTTCTGCTGTTCACAAAGGAACTGCTGGCAGAGTCCACCCTAACAGGAAAATCTGGGAGAGGGCTGGGGCCCCCCAAAAAAAACAGCTGGATGTTGAAAAAGTTCAGGCCATAACAGGTTTGCAATTTTGAGTTAATTTTGTGTCCGGAAAATTGTTACTTTAAATGTTAATTGTACAGTAGCAGGATTGCATGTGTCACAGATCGCAGCAGGATGTTTTCCTGTCGTGTTATTAACATAAATTAAACCCCCAACTGCACGATTTAGGCTACATACATAGTGTTAACAAACAACAAAAGAGAACAGTATTGTCATTTCCATTAACGACCGTAAATAGGTTGTGCTCGCGTCTCCTAGAACATGTTGACATCCTCATTTTTTAAAACAAGAATTAATGTTTTATTAACAAGGTTCGGGAAGAACACGTTCTAATGATCACAGTGGCGCCTCCAGAAATTTTTCGTAGGGGTGGCCAGATGGGGCCAGTTAAAATCTTGGGGTGGCACACCAAAACTACAGTATAAACCATAATTTCAGAATTGTTTTCTACTGTTGTAATAAACCAGCCTGTAGAAAACTATCAGAAAGACTTAAGGAAACTCTTACTGATATACTTTGGTTTATTGTGTAATATTTAATGTTACTAATGATATTAGTAGGGCCCAACTAATATATATTACATTGTATATAATGATATATATTATATGATATATAAGGGTCCTTGCCCCACAGCAAATTTCCAGATACTTACATAATTGTGATGAATTTAATCATTTTTAAGTTATTAGTTTGCAGTGTAAGATTACAGTTAACACCTTTAAATATTACATAAATGTATTATGAATTTTTAATACACTTAATGAGTGTATACATCAGCAGCAAAAAGTAATTCTTGAAAAAATCTGCACAGTAATTTTATAAAATCTAAATATGTTAATAAAAACAAATTACTATTAGTTCTCTTTTAAAATTCAATCAGGCAATCATGTCACAATTTTATATTTATATATTAATGTCAAGAATTCAGAAGTGCATAGCCTAAACTACAAATAAATTATATACAATTAAATTATGCTTATTTAAAATGTATTGAGCAGGCTAGGTATAACAAAATATATTGGCTTTCAATAATATTTCAGTGCGCAAACCCATGATTACATGAAAAACAGAGAGCACACAGCGTGTATGCGCATCGCGGGTGCAGAATGATGTGCTCAAAGCAACATGGAGTCACAGTGTGCAGCAGCACTGCGCTTCATAAGTGCGCATTTAAAAGCTCATGTCACAAATCGAAAAAATGTTGAGCACACAAATCCAAGTGCGATTTGTTCCTTTGTTTCACAGTTATTGTGCGTTTGATGCCGATTCATAATCCTTGTGATATGTATGTGTGATCTAACAGAACACGGTAGTGAGTCGTTTAAAAACAGCAACAAACTCCAAGAAAATAAAGTAATTTTATGCGAATATACAGACTTTTATCTACAGATCATGCATTTATAATGTCAATATATCATATTGGAGAGAGTTTTACCGTGCATCCAAGAGGCGCGCGTGCTGTTTGAATATGAATGGAGAATGATTGACAGCCGCAGAGGAGGGAAAACGAGTTTATACTTTAATGATGTAAATATACTTCTGTCCCTCACATTAAGCTATGGAATGACTTCAGATGACTTTGTCACCCAAACTGACGTGAAAAAAGCGGGAGGCGCCGAAAAGCGCGCTGTTTGCATCCCTGCCTGTCCAAACGTGGCAAAAACACACCTAAAAGCTGCTGTAACAGTATACCATTTGGCACTTAAAAAGCACTTCACGACACATAATTCCCCGTCTTCTTTTACTTAAGAATATTTTTGACTTATTTATAAAATGCATAACTGATGCTACAAAAATTAATACTGGCCATTGGGGTGGCCAATGGGGTGGCCAGGAGTCGGCCAGGGGTGGCCATGGCCACCCCTGGCCACCCCCTGGTGGCGCCATTGTCTCGCGCTGGTATCGTTGTCAGTTGACAGTTAGGTCATCAGGGCTGGGCGATATATCGATATATTTCAAATTTGCGCTATGATCCATTGCTCCAAGCAAGCTGCTGACTTATTTTGTAGAAATATGTAGCAGCTATATCGTTATCTGACACCTCCGTCTCTACAGCATTAGTGTACAACGCCACAAATACTCGCAATATTAACGCAGAGGAACGGCTACATCAGTTCAGCGAGTTCACAAAAGTTAATGTGCACGTGCTTTAAAGCCTTGCCGGTTAAACATGTCATTCACTGCTGATTCGCTGTTCTGATCGCGAACACCCGACGTGCACATGCACTAAAAGCTTGTCTAACAGCGCCTGGTTGCTGGACTAGGTTATCTTTCGAGTATTATTTCGCTTATACTCTCAAATACACACAAGGTTTACATAAGAACATTTGGTTATGTCTAAACTCAAAGCAAACCGAGAAAATTGAGAGAAATCTGCTTGTCAAATGCTCCGTGTATATTAGACGTGTCGCGTACAGGTCTTAAAGTGACAGTAGCCCTAATAATAAATGCAGCCGCTTGTTCTTAAAGGGTTAGTTGACCCCAAAATAAAATTCTGTCATTATTTATTTACTGTAATGTTGTTCCAAACCTGTATTAATTTATTTCTTGTGCTGAACAAAAAAGAAGATATTTTGAAGAATTTGGGTAACCAGACAGTCGCTGGTCCCCATTGACTTCCATAGGGAAAAATTTACTATGGAAATCACTGGGGTACATCAACTGTTTGGTTACCCACATTCTTCCACATGGTGTCCGCGGGGTTTTAAAAAGTATTAAAAAGTGATAAATCAAAATTGTCAAATTTAAGGTTATTCAACTACGTTTTCGTTTTTCGTTTTTCGACGTTTTCAACTACCCGCCCGCAACTCGGACCGCAAAAAAAAAGTAAAAAAATATTGTACCCGACCCACTTCCTGACCACATTTTTTAAAAGTAGTAAATGCTCATCGGAGCGTTATTGGGCCATAGACGTGTAACAACACAGCATCGCAAGAAGACGTCGGCCTACACATAACAAAGGCAAAGCCAGCACTTAGGTCATCATCTTTCATTATTTCAGCAAATGTCTCTTTCTATTTGTGTATTTGCGGAGCTTCCACTCCCCAGTCTTCACCTTTTCTCTTGCCGCCTCCATCTCTCTGCAGACTGTAGTGATCATCGTAGACATGGCCGGTTCGTGAACGAATCGTTCTTTTGAACCGGTTCTTTTTAGTGAACCGGTCGAACCAGTACACTAAATCGAACTGAATCGTTCGAAACAGTTCGCGTCTTGCGTCAGTGCTGATCCAGAAGTTACTAAAGTTACTCACTTTCAGACATGCCTGACAGTCCCTCCGAATCGAAATAAATCAATATCCTGAATTATATTTTACTCCAGTAACTCCAACAGTTCACTGAACCGAGACATGTTGGTGCCACTGTTGAGAGAAGTGATGAGCACGAGCAGCTGATACTGCGTAGGCTACTACCGAACGCACAGGGACAGCGGTTCTCGAATCACCAGTACAGAACCGAGAACTGTTTAGACTGAGCTTGTGTGTTATCTTCGTGCCAGTTATTCAGCCAATAATGTGTAGGGCTGTATTTCATCAAAAATTGTGTCTAGTACTATATTAATACAAATGTGTTAATTAATTGGCATCTTTTTTCAAACGACCCGACCGACCGCGACCCGAATATCATTAAAAACATTTTTGGATGACCCGTAACTGCGGGTAACCGCGGGTGACCGCAGGCACCCGCTCATTTTGGATCAACCCGCGCATCACTGATAGAGGCTATATAACCCTGATATAAGTGATCACACGGATTTAGACCTACCTATATTGTATTTATATAAAGCGTTCACAGGCAAATTTGCTTTAGCCTATGTAGATCTATATATTGCTTTTATTTCCCTTTTATTGAAATCAGGCAAACATAAATGTCAGGCAACACGATTGTTGGCTGCATGTCAATATCCATGGATCACTGGATCTTTAGTAAGTTGTTTGGAGTCCAACTATATTGAGTCCAACATTTATTTTAAATTGATCAAATTGTTAGTTTTAGTCGCATTTTCGTTTAATAGCTTCCCCTATTAATCCAGTCACGCAGCAGACCTTTTGCCACTCAGTCAGGTTGAGGGGGGTTGTACCGGCGGGAAAGTGATGTCAATGCATTCCCTCTATTGTTTGGTGTAAAAAAACATCAATGTCAGCTGGATGGGAGCTAATGCACTTCGGTCGCAAATGCAATCCACTAAACATAAAAATGGAATCCGTGTTCTAAATCTATTCATTTTTGTATGTTATAAATGTCAAAATCTGTGTAATAGAAAGGTCGTTGGTTAACACTTGCAATTCAGTGTCGTGATGGTTTTAAAAAAAATTCTGAAGGTAGTAAAAATGGTATTAAAAAGTAGTACATTTAACTTAAAGATTACTGTACTGAATGTACTTTTATTGAGTATTTTGGGTGTAATACATTATGTTTACTGTCTGATGTAGTGGAAAGTAAAAGTTGTATGAACATGCCCTCTGACCTTCCCTATTTTACTTTAACAGACACTGTTCTTCTGGAGTTTCCGAACACAACTCCATCTGAAGTGCGAGCGACCATAAGGCGCAAGTGCAACAATGAGCAATTTAGCAAGAAAAATTGAAGTTTGTTTGCTGTTCCACAATGTTTAATTTTTTATTATTTTTTTTCTGCTTTCTTTTTTTAACATGGTGCATTTTATTCTGTTTTTCAATGCTAACCATGTGAGGCTTTAATAAACACAGTTTGAGTTCATTATGTGTATCTGTGTGGTATTGTTATTTATTGTAATGACCCTGACAAGTGCATTCAGCTTTGGGGAAGAAAGTATATTTTTAGACAAAAACAATATATTTATGGTATATTTCTTGTTTGTTTGTAGGATACTCTTAATTAATTTCTAATGTACTTGTAATACAAAAAGTACTATAGCTTTGGGGAAGAAAGTATATTTTTACTAAAAAAATATATATATTTATGGTATATTTCTAGTTTGTTTGGAAGACACTCTTAATTAATTTGTAATGTACTTGTAATACAAAAAGTACTATAGCTTTGGGGAAGAAAGTATATTTTTACTCAAAAAAATATATTTATGGTATATTTCTAGTTTGTTTGGAATACACTCTTAATTAATTTGTAATGTACTTGTAATACAAAAAGTACACTTTAATATCACTACTCAAGCATGAAAATATGCATGTACTTAAAGTGTACTAAGTATACTTGAAATTGTCTCAATTTAGCATCAAAAAGTACACTAAATACACTTAAAGTTAAACTTTCATATAATTTAATTATAACTTAAATACACTTAGTACAAAAAAAAATTATCCAAAATAGCACACTTCAAGTTAACTAATTATAAACACAGAGTATACTGACAATTAGTCTGGCTGCAAGTATACTTAGCATACTTTTTTTTCACTAGGGTGGTCATGTATTTTAATAAGATAATCTGATTTTTGTAAGTGATAAATCTATAGCAGTCATCTTTTTTAATTCGTATACATCGCACTCATATTCAGACATGTTTCTACTTTCTCTCCCTTTTCCTTATGTGTCAACAGCAGCTATACTACACCCCAAAGGCTCTTTTAAGAGCCCTGCAGAGAGCGACTTTTGGCTTTTGTAAGTATGTTTTGAATGCCTGTCACATACCTTACAGTATGAAGGTTATAAGTCGGATGTTGGGCTGGGGACTGATAGATTTTAAATACTTCATATACTTTATATATATATATATATATATATATATATTTTATTTTTTTTTTTTATTTTTTTTTTTTTCATTTTAAAATGAGGCGGAGGTGCATGATAAAATCCTGGTCATGTATTTTACCTACCCCTGACCCCGCCCCTAAACCTAACCATCACGTGGGTTTAGACAAATCGGATGAATTCGCACGAGTGAGGTCGTACGAATTAGTGCAAATTAGCCACTTTTTAATCACGAATTCGTACGAATTGGTCGTGAGATATAGAACTAACCTAAACCAACCGAATCTGATGATGATCTTTTTTTAATTTATTAGATTTTGCATCGTTCTCAACTGCCTCCTCCTCAAAGTTATTTTATTTGAAGGTAAGAAATATTCTTTAGCTTCACTTCAAGGTTTGTTCATTATTTTTATTATTTATGAAGTCATCTAAGACTTTTTAGTAAGTTCATGTGTTTTTTATTATGGATTACCTATCTGGCCATGCTACGTTCACAGACATAAACTATGTTGATGTTGATATTGTCTACGCTAACAGAAGGTTTCCTAACAGTTGAGTAAGCATACTAATCATTCTCTACTTTCCCCTACCCTTTCCCCCCAGCCTCTGGACCCATCAGTGCCCAGGCTTCAGCAAGCACTGTGTGCTCAGTTGCTCTGGTGGAACTGTGGAGAGTTTAGCGAAAGGTAAGTCCTACATGTTAACAACTTGAGACAACATTTTTCTGTCTTGCAGTCTTCATTTGTGATGTTGAGGCAAACTATAACACACACTTTGATTCTTTCCACATTTTTATGTTTTAGAGATTGAATTAAAATCAAATATTAACATTACTGCCCTAACTATCACTGAATAGGATGTCTACTTCATAAAAATTTTAAAATAGTATGCAAATATAAGGTAAGATCACTAAAAACATATATGTAAATCAAAGAGTCTGGATGTCATCTAGTGAAAAAAAAAATCTTTCCTAATTCTCATTTATTGAGACATCAACCTAAAATCTGGTCCAGAACTTGTCCAGATATTTAGCATTGATTTTCTCAAAGTTCTGGAGAACTTTGAACAAGCGCACCTCGTTCTTCACGCTCTTTACCCTCAGGTGCTCTTCGGTCATTTCTAACCGAAAAATTTTCTGTTTTGAAATTTTACAAATCACAGCTTCATCGGAATGTTGCGAAACTTGGTGACTTTTATGGCATTGGGTATGTGAACACACAAAAAATTGAGGTCATGATCTGTGCATGCTTTGGTCTTAAAAAAATAGTCACAAAAAATGACCCCCATACGAAATAAATGGGGAAAAAAAATTGAATTTTAGTTTGTCAATTTTTTTTAATAAGAAATTGTTTTTGAAATTGTTTCAACTATATATTCAAATCCATCAACAACATGAAAAAAAATGTGTTCATAAACAGCTGGGGAATTCACATGCCTCTCCATAGAGAGCTGTACATGCCATCTAGTGGTTACACCATGATTTACGCCTTTTCTCTATACTGTAACTAGGTGGTGCTAATTTTCTTCAAAAAATATTTTTTTTTCTGAAGGCCTAGACTCTATATTAGACTGAAATACTGCGTTAATGTTTTTTTGAAAAAAATAATATATATATATAGAAAAATATATATTTTCCAAAAGAAAAGAAACCATAAATATTGCATAAATATTCATAAATTCAATTAAATTGTCTCAAAATACTAAATTAAAAAGAATAAATATTATAAAACAAAAATAAATTCCATTGATTTTTCTGGGATGGAGAAAGTTTCATTTTTAGGTGTCCGGTCACTTTTGACCGGGAAGATAACAAGTGTGACTCCGAAACGATGAGCACCTGAGGATTAAAGGGAATGTGATACGACACTTATAGGTTTATTTCCATTACGCCCAAACCACACCTATGAATAATGAAGCTACTCCAGACCAACCCCTTTTAGATTTGCGCCAGGCGCAAGAGGCATTTATCCCGCCAGGAAAATAGCAACAGTGCCGGGATCCGCCCACAAAGTTACTTGCGCCTTGTGCTTTGACACTTGCGTTTCAGGGCCCGTATTCATAAAGATTCTAAGAATCCTCTCAGAAAACTCTTAATTTAGCTTAAAAACGTCTCTGGTTACTTGCGTAACCTATGTTCTCTGAATAGGGAACGAGATGTTGCGGATAGCGCAGTGGGATATTCTCTGAATGTGCCGATTGTCTGAAGCCCAATAGAATCACGCCAATTCATTGGCTAATGGCGCTCGCGCAGTCTGGCCCCGCCCCGACGCAATCACGTCGCAAAATTAGTTTTTTACATACGCGTGTGCGCCATCTTCCCCTCAGATTTCTCTGCCGAAAAGAAGACTGTCGGCAGCGCGAGGAGCTTAGCCGCTAACGCAGCGTCTCGTTCCCAATTCAGAGAACATAGATTACGCAAGTAACCAGAGACGTTCTCTTTCATAGGTTCACTCAACGCTGCAGATAGCGCAGTGGGTGGGGGTCAAATGGGGGGTCACAGTGTTTTTTTGGGAGGGACTTAAGCATACTGTCTATGGTCTTAAGACCCCCCATTGCAAGACCCCCCCTGGCGCCGCCACTGTTTCCAGTCCTTCATACTGTTTGGATCAGTCAGGGTAAATGGAGTAAAAATAGGCAGAGTAAAACTAAATATTTTGTACTGAACTATTTTCATAGGCACCACCACAAAAAATATTATTTTAATGTGTGTAAATTGTGTAATATCTGTGTAAATAAAAGTAAAAATAACAGACCAGAAATATAATTCCAAAAATGTTTATATATGGCCTAGATATAAATTAATGGATATGTGACACAAAAAGGCTGATTATGGAAAAGAAAACGAAAACAGATTATGGAAAAATATGTGTTAGCCAGACTGATGCTTCTATATCGTTTTCTAAAATTGAATAAATATCTAAAACCTGCAATGCTAAAGGAAAAACAATATGAGAAAAGTCCTGTGTCGAGAGCCCCACTAAAGCAAACAAACAAATGAAACATTTTCAACCTAAAATGAACATCTAAAACTCTCAATAAGAACTTCTGAGCGATTCACTGTGCCAATTTATGTCCCCATACTTTTGGCCATGTAGTGTAGGCCTAGGTGTAGTGAAATATTCCATGATGTGTCATTACCACATTTTCATCAAGTTCATTATTTTGAATTTAGAATGGATTCGAAATCAAAGAGGCAACGCTACACAAGGCAGTGGAAATATGCACGTAGATCATTGGATGAAAGGTTTATTGGAGAGGAATCATCAGAATCATCAGATGATCCAATAACACCTCATCCAATAACACCTCAACCAATAACACCTCAACCAATAACACCTCAACACATCAATTACATCAATGAAGATATCTCAAGTGTTATTGAAAGCGTAGAAATTAGTGTCAGTGGGCAGAGCTGCAGTTCGGGACCGGACCATGTGGAGGACGAAGGTCTCAGTGAGGAAAAGTGCATTTCAGAAACTGAGAGTGAAAACGAAATGGCCTCAACTTCACTCACAACATTCCTACAAAAATGGGCAACAAAACACTTAATCAAACATAATGCCATTGATGATCTCCTTAAAGGACTTAAACAAAATGGACACTCAGACCTACCATCAACAGCAAGGACATTGCTGAAAACTCCAAGAATCGTTAAATCAGTGGTAAAGTCTGGAATGGAGTGCGTCCACTTTAATTTAAGAGAGAGCCTTCATGAGCAGCTGCAGCGCTATCCAAGGGAGATAATGGAAGGAGTTAGCACATTGGAGCTATCATTTAATATAGATGGCCTGCCCATTTTTAAAAGCAGCAGGACAAATCTTTGGCCCATCCTTTGTGCCATTCACCTCCCACCCATCAGTGTCTTTCCTGTAACACTGACACTCGGTCCCACCAAACCATCAAATCTGGATTTTGCTGAGGAAGCAATAAAGGACATTCAGGAAATCCTCGACAATGGTTTGGATGGAAAACAAATAAAAATCAGATGTGTTGTGTGTGACGCACCCGCTAGAGCCATGATAAAACAGATCAAACAGTATTCCGGGTATTATGGTTGTGACAAGTGCACACAGAAGGGCACATGGGTTTCTGGACGAGTGACTTACCCAGAGGTGGACAACCTCACTCTACGCACCAATGACACATACCGTGGTGAAATGACAAGACGTCAGGAGAATGAGGACATTCCAATGTCTCCGTTTTTGAGCCTCCCATTGGACATGGTAGAGCAGTTTCTGATTGACTACATGCACCAAGCCTGCCTGGGTGTAATGAAAAAACTCATCACAGTGTGGATTAGAGGAGACAGAAAGGTTAGAATGTCTGCTGGGCAAATAAATGAGGTGAGCCAACGGTTGCTGTCACTCAGGAAGGCCATTCCAAGCTGTTTTGCCCGAAAACCAAGGAATCTAGTAGATATTGACAGATGGAAGGCAACTGAACTGCGGCAGTTCCCATTCAGGGAACTTCGAGCTGCGTGTAAACGCCGTGGGAACGCCTCTGCGTGACGAGTCATGAAGCACGTATGAAATCTGTCCAATGGCGAGACGGAACGTCATAGGCGGGGTGACGTATCGACCAGGAAACTATAAAGCATCCCCGAAACACAAGCGCAACAGCTTCTGAGTCTTCACAAGCGCTCTATGTATGAATTTTGTCTGTCTGTCTAATATTGCATATTTATATATATTGATATGGCGAGCAAACAACAGCAGAATTTCAGAAAGTGTGTTCATCCCTGCCCTCGCTTCATCACGGGTGGGGATACACACGATCTGTGTGTTGTTTGTTTGGGAGTGCAGCATGCTCAGTCGGCTCTCGAGGGGGCCGGCTGTGAGCACTGCGAGTGTCTGCCCATGAAGACACTTCGCTCCCGCCGGGCACTCTTCGAGGAGAGTGGTTCGGTGCGCGCTCCCCGCGGCTCGGGTCCCGCTGCTGCCGAGGCACAGCGAAGGCTTGCGTCGTGGGGATCGCAGATGGATCTATCAGCGGGGATTGAGACGGGCCCCGCCCTTTCTCTGCCCTTACCTGGTAGATCCAGTGCCTCAGTTCTCGCGGCGGGGGTCCGCGTTGCGGTTTTCCTGCCCGGGCTGAGGCGCCATCACTTCAATTATCCAGTTCTGAGGAGCTGGATGTTGAAAGTGTGGAGAGTCTATGGACTCAGTGGAGAGCGAGGGAAGCTCGTTTGCCATCCCAGTCTCCCGCGAATGAAATAAAAGGAAAAAAAAAAAAATGGAGGTTTTTGACTCGGGCTGTGGAAAAATTAACCATTGAATGGCCAGTTGAGGAGTAAAATGGATGAGAGATTTTTAATATCACACTCACTACCTCCATGCCGGTGTTTGCCCTTCTTCCCCGATCTACACACCGAGGTGTGTAGATCGTGGAACAAACCAGTGTCAGCTAGAATTTTGACACACCAGACCTCTATGTATGCTAATATTGCTGGGTCTAGGAGATATGAGTGAGGGGGAGGTCGTCGGCACTGACGTGATTAATGAGATACTGCGTCAGGCGGCAGATATTTCTCTCCGTGCCACCAAGGAGACGGCCAGATCATTCGGCCGCTCTATGGCAGCCCTGGTGGCCACGGAGAGACATCTGTGGCTAAATCTGGCTAATATGAAGGAGAAAGATAAAGCGTTTCTCCTGGATGCG